CCGGCTGGGCTGGGAGTCCTCCAGCGGCGTTCCAAGAGCCGCCAACTTTTCTCCAGTATATTTTAATCGCCCATCTCTAAAAATATCAAACAGCAAGTTATCTGCTATGTTCAAGTTCTAATTTTTACTTTCTTTCCACCCTGAAACTATCACAGCTTGTGTTACTTTTAATATATACTTTACTGCTTTTTCTTCATTATTATTCATTCCCTTATTCTTCAGATTTAATGTTATACAATTCTCTTTGCTCAAATGAACATTATTTTTTTAATCTCTCTTATCAATTCCTGAACAAAAGGGCAATCCCAACACATATGCATGCAGAAACCCTTGGATCCACTGCAACGCCAACACTTTGCTGATAAGTTTTTATTGAAAAGTTCGAATTGAGAAGGAGTCCTGTACCTTCGCCCTATTAATATAATCTGTTGCTCTCTTATCCTAATGTGCTTGTTTCTCTTAACTTCTTGTATCCACAGTTGTATATCTTCCCTTGTTAAATGTATTTATTTATTTATTAAAATGTTATTAGTATATACAACTACATACATACAATTACATAGAGTTAAACTAACGCACTATACATTCTTGTACCTAAATAATATCTGTCATACTCCCTCTTTGTCTCCCACCACCTACACACATATACCAATTTTTCTTTCCCATTTTTCTTATCTTATCTTATTTCAATCATACATACATTCATTTCATAGCTTCCTCCCTCCAATATCAATTATAATTATAATATAAAAGTATATAATAAAAGTAGAAATAAGAATAGAATATATAATATTATATAAGAAGGTATAGGAAAGTCAATTAATTAATTTAAATCTCTTTCCCAATGTGACATTGGTGACCGTCTTCTTGGGCTGTTCTGTTGCTTTAAAAACAAGGTGCACACTCCTCGTGCACCTTGTTCCAGGGATGGGTCTGTCATCCAGCAGGGAGAGTCAACCAAGAAATTTAAGGGGTCCTAAAACCACAGAGTGAGTTGGCGTGATGTAGTGGTTTGAGCACTGGACTATGACTCTGGAGATCAGGGTTCGATTCCCCACTCAGCAATGGAAACACACTGGGTGACCTTGGGCGAGTCACATACTCTCAGCTCCAGAACACCTGGTGATAGGATCTCCTTAGGATCGCCATAGGTCAGCAATGACTTGAAGGCACACAACATCCAAAAAACACAGTAGAATGATTAAGTATTTACCTTGCGATTATTAAATTCTCTCAAGGGGCTGCTTGAGAGTTTTGTGCCTCGTGTACCAGAACAACATGGCTAGCGTTGGTATTGTGCTCCTTGAAGTGGAGAAGGGACATTTGCTGTGCTGTCTAAAAACAGCACAATTCCAATTTCTTAAAGGGAATTGGGAACTTTTTGCTGCCACGACAAAAACTGGTGGCAAGTGGAAAAGTGCAAAGCAGTGGAAGGTGCAGCCCCTGGGAGGTTTCAGGGAGCAAAATCGGTCTCCCAGACCTGCCCATGTTGCCCACACCGGGGTGACTTGACATTATCACCACAAAGGAGGGCAAGGCACTACAAAAAGTAGGACCTTTAAGAAAAATGGAGGGCATTACAAAATAAAAGCGGAAAACAATAATATAAATATAAATTAATGGATCTTGCTCATGCTCAGAATGGAGGACACTTTGAAAATCCTCCCGGACAGAAGGCTGAAATGTAGGGCATGTCCTGGAAAAAGAGGATGTCTGATCACCTAGTCAGAGCTTGGAAAATTGGTGCTGGTGACTGGAGGATTTGGGGACTGTAGTCTAGACAGAATTTTTCAAGCTCTACTCTCTTGAGAGGAGAAGTGATAACCCAGAGAATGAGTACAAATCATGAAGTTGCAGCTCACACATGTTGTCTCTGCTAAGAACTCACTAGGTGGCCTAGTGTCCAAGCCTCAGGTGTTTCAATACCAGAAATAATATAGTTTAACACCACTTGAATTGCTGTGGCCCCATCCTATAGTATCCTGGGATTTGTACTTTTACCAAGTCTTTAGCTTTCTTGGCAAAGAGCACTAGTGCCTCACAAAACTATAAATCCCAGGATTCTATAGGATGGAGCCATGGCAGTTCAAGTGGCGCCAAACTGCATTATTTCTACAGTGTAAATGCACCCTCAGTCTTCCCATCTACAATGCTGGGGATAACAATATTTACTTACCTTATAATTTGGTTGTAAGGGTTATGTACATGTAGATCATGTATGTGAGGTGCTTTGAAAAATGTTATACAAATGTTTAATAGTATTATTAGATGTTGCTTGTTTCCCAATAGACTCAGTACATCCCAGTGCAACCAAGAGACTGATGCATCTCTAGCATTGTTCAGCCTAATGATAAACTCATGGCAAATTGCTACTTGAATGGTTTTTAATATAAAATTAAGCCAAGATGACAAAGATGTTTGCACAGTGACTAGACTGATGGATGTTGTGCACTGGAAAGACCTCAAGTATGTGCCTTGGGCTGCTCTTCCTTCAATCGTATGACAGTTGGAATCATATGACTTTAGAAATTTGGGTCACTCCTATAATATTGCTGTTTCATTATGTTCGTTGTGGTCATGGTCAAGAAATGTTGGTATTCAGATGGGTTATTATATTGCTGTAGTCTAGGTAGCATTTATATACAATAACAGAGTGATGTTTATTTTTCTGCAGGGCAGATTCATCTGCAGGGCAGACTAGAATCTGGAACATGGGAAATCAGGACAGCGTTGCATATTTGGGTTCCTTTATTGGGTTTCCCATGGCATAAATTTGTGTGGAGCAGGAGAGGGAAGGAGGGGGGAGGGATTTATACTCCATATTTCTTCATAGGCTCTTAGGGTGGCTAATAAGTCCACATGTTAAATTAAAGTCACACATTACAAATTTCTGCTAAAATAAATTAAAGTGACACAAAGAAGCAGCAGTAGAAGACAACAAACATCTGTTTATTTTGCAAGAGCCTCTACAAATGCTTGTGTTGTTAATTGATCCCTGGTGTACAAATGTGTGTGGGACTACCAAATCTCTAAAATCTCTAAAAGCGAGTTCCTGAGGCAGGGTGCCACCACAGAGAAAGCCCTGACATATGTGCATAACATACATACATACATACATACATACATACACACATATTATTAGATGTTGCTTGTTTCCCTGCCCTCCCCAAGCATAGGCTTGCCATCTGTGCACATGCGCTGCCATTGAGGACTGCAGGACTTGAGATCCTGATTTTTTTCCCCATTGACTGTACATAAACCACTCTGAATTATTCAAAGATATAGCCATGTTAGTCTGTAGAATCAGTATGTAGCGAGATCTTGTAGCACTTTTGAGACTCACAGAGAGAAGTTGACAGCATGAGCTTCAGTAAACTTCGGTCTACTTCCTCACATGCCTTGAACTACATGCACACCACCTTGAGAAGTGATTAATCAATCAATCATCTTTAAATAACTGTCTCCATGTTATTGAGGAGTTCCAATTCCTTTAGACTTTTCAGACATGCATACATCAGTGATTAAGGTCATGAATATATGTACAGCATGCATAACATTTCCTCATTATGCATTTGCTACAGGAAACACCAGTGTCTCCGAGAGCAATTAAGATAGGTCAGTCCAGAAAAAAAATCCCTTTGCTCCAAGCCATAGTATTAAAAAGATTCAGGAACATGTGGATTATATGCAAATCCCCTCTTTTTTGTGGGCCCTTCAACACACCTCAGCAGAAGCACACATTGCCAAAAAGCTGAAACAAAAACCACTTGCATACTTAACAACACACGTGGAGAGGATGGATCATACACTTCTTAAAATTAAGGTGGATTGTACTCTCAGAAGTTGTTGTTGTTGTTGTTATTTCTTTCCCACCTCTCCTCAAGCTTCGAAGCAGGGTACATGTTAAAAAACAAAATGCAGTTATGTGGTCCTTGTGTACCCTTGGTGGCCGAATTCAAAGACACGACTATGTTAATCTGGAAAAATCAGTGTGCAAAAGGATCTTGTAGCACCTTTGAGACTAACAAAAAGAAAGAAGTTGGGAGCACGAGCTTTCATAGACTTCAGACAACATCCCCATGCATCTGCGGAAGCAGGCTCAAGTCTACAAAAACCCATGTTACTAACTTCTTTCTTTCAGTTAGTAACAAAGACGTTAACAAGACCCCCTTGCATATTTGTGTCCCCTTGTTTGCTTTGAAAACAGGAAAAAAATTTGCCAGTACATCACTGGCAACAGGGATAGAGGTCAACTAGCAAGGTGTTCTGTGGATTCAATATACCCCTTTCCCACTCCCTAGAAGTTGCCTGTCCAGATTTTTAAGAGATCAAGGATGTGTGCTGGGATCTCTCATTTCTTTTCCCAACACTCAAACCAATTTATTGGTTACATCTGTATCTCACCTTTCCATCACTGGTGTTCAAGGCAACCAAGAGTAATAAAATACAAACAGAATAAAAGAGTATACATCGTGAAATAATAAAATGACTACAGTAAAATGCAAAGGGAAAAATGACAAACAACCCAAGACAATTAAATAGATAAGAATTTAAACCAATCTTTATGAAGGCTGTAGCAAATCTGCTTATGAGCTAGGTGTGTCTGAACAAACATGTCTTTTCCATCATGTCATGTATTTAGCACAAACAGGGTGACCAGACAGCCATCTTTTCCAGGACATGTCCTAAATTTCAACCTTCTGCACAGGAGGAATTCCAAGATCTCCTCCACTTTGAGCATGACTAAGAAGCCCATTGAATAGCATCATGTTTGCAGTTCCCTATCAAGAAATGTGTTTACATGGCAGTCTGTCCTTGCTGCAAATATGGAGCAAGGATGGATCTTCTGAAGTTCTTTTTTTCCCTAGGAGCCACAGGAAACAAGACTTGCTTCCAGAGCTCAGGGCACATTTGTTTCTTGGAGGGGGAAAGGCAGCAAACATGGGCTGCTTGAGGACAGAGTGCAAATGTTGAAAGGGTTCTCTCCCCCCCCCTAATTTCACTACAATGGACAAATGAAAGGGATAATTTAAATGTAGAATCAGTCAAAGGTTTTTAGCTAGTAAAGTACAGTTTTAAGCATTTGTTTTGCTCAAAGGTGTATAAGTATCTTGCAAACCGATTTATTTTAATTAAGATAAATTTATCAGAAAAAATATGGCTGAGTACATAATAAAATACAACCATGTGTAATACAGCTGTAAATAAACCATATGAAATGAGTGTGTGTGTGTGTGTGTGTGTGTGTGTGTGTGTGTGTGTGTGTGCATATATACACAATATATAAAGGTAAAAGTATTCCCTGTTGACAAAGCTGTCAAGTTGTATCCAACCATAGTATATATTATGTGTGTGTGTGTGTGTG